ATTAATTCAGAAGTCCTGTTTCAAAGTGCTCTTAAGTAGCTATGCTACTTTATCTTCACATTCTAAATAGCGTTACGGGTGACCATGTTACATAAAGGTTAACAAAATAATCTCTTACTGATTTGAAATTGGTAAGTAATTATTCATTTTTATCATTCATAATTATTCATATCCATTATTCAAACTCTTCTTTAGGACTTGGCAACATAAGCTGTAGACACCAGAACTTACTAGAGCAAAAATGATGCCAGCTGGAATTCCAGGCATGAGGTATATGTTTTACATGCCTGGTGAGAAATGACTTTGGGCTCCACTACCTCACATTGAATCAAAAGATCACAGACTAGAATTTTTTTCCAAAGCTTTTCTCAGCTTCATGTTTTTAATTCTTCCATCTGTCTGTTTTGTTGTTTTGTTTACTCGACCTGCATGCTGTTTAATGTCTCCTGGGGATGCTGTTCAGAAGCCTCCTACCTCCGCCCTGGGTGGTACAGATGATCCAAAGAGGACATCAGGGGAGTCCAGTGAATGACTCCAGCAAACAGTCACACCCGGGACAGTGAGCTCATCTAAACCTTTTCAGACAACGACCTTTTGAATGCTCTTGCCTGAACTCAGATGTGCTGGTGTGCTAGACTACGGTGCATCCAACCATGGTACACAAAAATTAGCCTCATCAGGCAGCATTAATACAGAGTTTCAAAAATATTCAAGGGTCAGAGATGGAAGAGGATTTCTAAAACTGCATGAAGTAAGTCTGGACTTTCAGTGGATCATTGGAAAGCTTGGGCATGCTGTGGCTGAGCAGCCTAACTCATCACCAAACAGCCTTTGGCTAGTCAAAAACCACCACAGCATCTGAGTCACCAACATTGCCATTGCTTCTGTACAGCTCTCATAAAAAATGAAGCCGGGAAAGCAACTTTAATTGTTAGTAAGTTTCAGATATCAAAATTACAATCTCTTAGCTTTCACCGCTTCATAATGGAGCCTCTACCTGACCCATGTCAAGAAAGATTTGAGCACATTATAAAGCTTTCTTTTTGTATTGTAAGGCAGGTACTAATTTTTAGGGGCTAGAGACACTACAAATAATTAGTATACAGCTGTATACTGTGAGGATTTTCAAGATGGCTGGGTTACTGATAAATCATAAACTTTGACAATGTTTATAACCAGTGACTTCCTTAGAATTACGGCATTACTAAAGTATTTTTAGCAACACACATTATTATGGATTATTGAAAATTAGTATCTCATCTGATGAATTACATATGGTTCATTGAAATATCCCATCAAAGTATTTTTAAAAGAGGGATTTCTATTAGAGATCATAGTTTTGATGATTAAAATTAATGAACTCCTTCAGAGTACCTGCAGATATTTGTAAAAATGCATTCTTCTTTTCCCCTCTGGTATTTTCATATATGAAAAGAGACTTTTTCATGCTTCCTGACCGAACTTATTATTTGCTTGTCAAATTTACCCTGATTTTTTTTTGCTGTCTAGTGTCAACATGATATGAACTGGTAACAGATGAGCACCTGAGTTGTCTCCAAAAAATAATCATTGAGAAGGAAACTATATGTCAGCCAGATTTTTATTATAACTTGATAAGTTTCCCTGCAAGTTTGAAATAAGCTTTTTTAATTAAAGAAAAGAATTGTATTCAAAAAGCTTTTTAAAAAAGGTGACATCAGGAAAATAATTGGCTTTGCAAGTAGAAAAGTCTACACTTTAAGACTTGGGACTCTTTGTCAGTGGTAATACAGTCTAGCAGGGTGAAATGTAAACTTCCTTACTGAACGGGATACATTTTATAAATTTGGTATAGCCGGGTCTAAACTTTTTGCTCTAGTTGTTTTAAAATGTGTCTTCATAAACACTTCCCATGGAGATATTCTTTATAAAAATAAACGTTAATAACTAACTGACAAAGAATTTATGGAACTGAAGTCTCAAACGCCTTTAGACCCCAGGGGATTACAGTACAGTAAACCCAAATTTATACAAAGAATGAAATATAAAGTGGAACAGAACAAAGGGAATGGAAAATGGTTCTTACTGTTTTCCTAAAATTAAGAGAGTGACATATTCCTGTTACTTTCACTGAAGCACATGCATGAACTGTAAATACTGATGTTTAATTTTGGATCTCTGAGTGATCTAAATGGATCTATTTCTTATGAAAAATGTCTGATTATGGCCAGAATGTGTATATACAATATAACTTTAGTGTAGGTAGAAGTGGTGTTTCCTAAATTGCCTGTCAAGAATGACTTAATCCTACTTTGCAGGAATTGCCTACATCAGTGAGACACATTCATTTCCATACCCATTCATTTAGGAGACTCTCTGCTGAGAATGTCAAAGAGATGCTAATTATTATCAGCTATGGTGATCCCTTAGGAATTAGGCTGAGATTGAAAAAACGCATAATTACTGAAGTTACACTATAGCCAAGGATTAAAGTGATGAGTTCTGCTCCCTTTCTGTTTTTTTTTCTTTCGTGGTATGGGGAGCAGCTGTAACAGGCAGTCCTGGTGCCCTTTAGGTGATCATTCTGTGACCCATTTGTCCTCTTTCAGTCTAGTTTTATCTGCTACCAATGCTGTGCAAGGGCGGAAGCAGGAGAGGCTGTAATTGTATGTGCAGCCTGGTTGTTTCCCAGAGAAACCATCATAGAGAAAACTGCAAGATCCTTGAGCAAGGGACTGATTTTAAGTTAAATCATCTGCTTCATTAAAGAGAGACAGTAGAATTTTGAAGTTCAGTTGAGTAACTCTAGGGAGTAACACATGCTGCCTGGAGTTAAGCAGAATTCAACCAGGAAATTCTGTTCTGTTAACAGGGGAGCTCTGAGAGGAATATAGGGGACCTATGATAGCATTAATATCTGAAAATCTGAACAGATTTTCATAAGTCCTTACTACTCTGACAAAAAAGGAATCACGTAAATTTTCATTCAGAACAGAAATTAAAATTGACAGACTTTTGTGCTGTTGTTGATAAAATATCCAGGATAGGAGATAATTTTAAATAAAGGCCAGTTCTTTTCCTGATGATAAATGCCTGTGTCCTTTATAAATCTTCTCTGTTCCATTCCAATTCAAGCATTTTTTTATAACTGTGAATTCTTATTGTGAGCAAAATGAGTTTACAATGCTAAATATGTTTTGTTTGGTGGTACATACCAGAAATGTGAATGTTCCTTGAATCCATTTGACATTGACGGTTGGTTTTAAAGTTACCATGTTATGTCCTGATAATTCAATGACATAAATCTGAGAGCAGTACAGTGTTCAATTATGTTTTCCTTTGCAGTGTTTGCTTTTCTGGAGTGCCTGGTTAACCTAGAATCAATCCTGTGCATTATAAGTATGGGACTAATCCCATGGGATATGTGGCTGTAGGGGTATATTTGCAAAGGACACATCCCATTCTAATGTAACTTAGCATGCTGAGAAATACAAACATTGAGAGAGAAATGTTTCCCTTTTATCAAGGGAAACAAACGATCAGTATTTAAGATTACAAAAAACATGAAACGCTTGAGGCTAGTTACCACTAGGATAGAAATATAAGCAAATGAGTGCACTGATACAGTCTTTCAACTATAAACAGCAAGGTCCAGGTTCTACTTTCATCCATATTGCATTAAAAGTCAGCAATAGGTTATTTGCAAAATACTATTAGAGTACATGGTTTTAATCTGGACCTAAACAGTACAGTTTAGCTAAGCAAGTGTAGCAGCTCTACCAGATGTTTTGGATGATACGAATGAATTAAATACAAGTGTTCAAGTTTGAGGATCCTTTGTTACATCTTAAATATATGCTAACAAGGTGAAGGGAAGGGAAGTTATGTCTGTGACTGTGTTTCCTATATATAAATTCTCATGAACTACTACTTTTTTTCTTGTTGGCAGTACACCTTTCAGGAATTCGAACATTAAGAGTATGTTTTCTATCTGTGTGAAGTTAGGTCATTGTAGGCAAATGGATTGCTCAAATTTGGAATGCTTTTACTCATTTTTTGCTTGCTTTGTTTTGCTCCCTGTGTATTTTTTTATGGCAAAGCTAACCTTTTAGTACTGATTTTAGTCCTTTATTGAGAATAGAGCTTGTACCGAGAGGAGCTGGATTCTGTTTTCTCAGTGAGTACAGCACTATCATTAATAATTAGACAAATGAAAGCTGTAGAATTTTCATTACAGGTGGTGATATACAGAGAGTGAAGGTGGGTAGGGTTTTTTTCCAGATGGAAAAGTGAATATGATAGATTGGAAGGTATTTCTTTTTAAATAATTGATTTCTGTATATGAAAATAAAGTAATGCAAAAGTCTATTTTAAAATATAACTGGGATGCCTATCTTTAACCAAGCTACACAAATTAATTTAAAAATGCCTGCAGTTTTGAGAGATCATGATGCTATCTTAGTACACTAAACAATGCCAGGATCCAACCTTGATGCTGGCAGCTGAGCGCAGTTGTCTGCTCCCTTTCATTGGTAGCACATTCCCTGCAATGATTTTGCTCTATACCAGCTCAACCAGGTGGTTCCCTTGGCAGAGTCTGGTTGACCAGAGACTGCTCCCAGCAGAAAACTTGGAATAGGCAGTGCTGTTCTTCGTGGATGCAAGGTGTTCTGTACCAAATGTCTTGAGAATGGGTCCGGGCATTTTTCTGTATTAGAGTAAAGACATCTTCTGTTTCTAGGCCCCCAACATTATGGTACTCTTTTGATTTAATTTCATCCTGACTCTTCCAAACCAGTGAAAGCTATTTTTAGTTTTCAGTTTAAATTATTTTCTGGAATATCCTTTTTTATTTGAAAACTCCCTTTACTCACCAAGTAATATCACTCTTCAAAACAAACAACAACAAAAAAAATCAAGAGTTTTTATTTAAAGGTTTTAATCTTCTTAGCACAGATATTCTTTTAGTACTTGAACTGTGATTCCCTTTCTTGCTCTCTTATCAATCTTGTTTCTTGCAGTTATTCACCTGCAGAAGGTATGTTATATATTGGGAACATTTCCTTTTCTCGATCAACGTTTGTTGGTTTAGGTGGTTTAATTAACTGGCTTTCATCAAACAGTACTCATCTGTATTTAAATTGGTGCTGTTCTTCTCAAAGGTATTACAATCATTCATATTGTATTACATAATATCAAAGTAAGAAATTTAATTTCATGAGAAGTCAATGAACTTTACTTCCTTAAAATGGTGATGAAATTTAGACAAAAAAGATTTTCAGAATGAGAAACTAGGTTTGTGTTCAAGACTGCCTCTCATTTTTCCAAATGATTTTGTGTCAAGTAAGGAATAATATTTTGCTGAAGCTTTTTTTGGCTTTTAGTCAAGTACTATAAATGAATTCATTAATGGGAATTATTTTGGGGCAGCAGTAGTGGGTGTGTGTTTAAAGTCTTATGGTGATGCATGATACTTTGAGCTTCAAGTGTATGCCATCTTTTCATTAGCAGTTCTAGCCTAAGATGTAGTTTGGCTTAAAAGAAACAAACAAACAAACCAAAAAAACCCAAGCTTATAGTGATCAACCATTATCTATGAGCCAGTCTACTACCATTTGTAAGATTGCATTCTAGGCTGTCTGAATGAGAAGCCCTTTTCTTGGTATTATTAAAATAAACTTACTGGAAAATTATGCATGGCTAGTTTAGTGTGGAGAATTAGGCTGTAATTTAACCCTTTGCAGCATTTATTATAGGCAATGTATCTTGTCTGTACTGGACTTTGAAACTTGTTAATTAGCTTGTGCCTTGGAAATATGTCAGCTATTACCTGTTGTCACCCTACAAAGATCTGTAAATCTGTGATGTATACTACATGTATAGAGCATGCTGGTAAATGCTAAGAGGTTCTGATATTTAAACATATGCTTCATTGTAAGCAGTGGTCGCACTGGCTCTAGGGACCCTCTATTTACATGTTTAATCTAGCAGTGTTGTTGGTAAGAAACACATTTTTTTGAGAAACTGAAAATGTTACTTGTGGCTTTCATTTTTTTTTTCTGTTTTATTTTCAGTAGACGTGGATAACAACTGTGAAAGGAATGAATAAATAGGACCCATTATTTACTTTCTGTGAAAACCTTTGGTATTGAATCTCAAATTATGGTGTCTTTCATCCATGCGAAGATTAAACCTCTCTAAAACACGCAGAAAGCAATGATCAGGGAAGTTACCATAATAGCATCAGCCTCAGTCACCACATTATTATTTAATGTACTTCGGTTGATATGTGTGCTGTTCTGGATATCATTATCTTGAAAATTCAAAGTAATTAAAGATTTTATTTTTAAAGCAGGCATACCAAATAAAAACATGCTACAGGATGTTGATAGCTGGAATAAAAACGTCTATATATCTTCTAAGTGCATTAATAGCAAGAGAAGGGAGGGTTTTAGCTTAAGGAAGGATCTGATGGTCTTGACATTTGAGCTTCAAGTAGATAATTGTCAAAGCAGAGAGGGGATTGTTTTTTTAAGTGTAGATAATGCATCTTTTATGAATTCACATGATAATATAAATGTGAACCAGGTGTGAAATCATAGGTTATGCAGTAATGATGGAAATTAAAATCATAGGTAAATGAACCTGGACAGAGCCTACTTTACTTACCTTCAGCAGAAGACTCAGTGGAAACCTAGACTGGTTATCCAGTATTGGGTTGCGAGGTGTCAGGAATTCTCCCTGTTTTCCTTTCAGACTGCAGCTACTCTGTTCAATGGGTAGAGCAGTAAGCCGGTGTTACTGCTTTTTATGAATGGGTTTGCTCCAGATGGATGGTTTCTTGCCTCACTGAACAGACATCAGGCTGTCCATCAGCCTTTCTGCCCGTTGTCTTCAGGGAGTCTCCAGCAGAACCTGTAAGGGTTCATTGCCTAGAGGTCCATGGTAGCAGAATGACTAGCACGTTACAAAATATGGTGCTTGATCACAGCAATAAGCTTCTCTCAAGGGTTTATCCTAATGCATATTGGAAACTATTTAATTCTTTTTTGTTCTGGATGTGTATTACTGTCCATGCTGCAGACGAAGAGTCTGAACAAAGACATGCAGTAAGCAGAACACTCAAGCTTCTTTCCCTGTGCCATGGGCATATCTTCCTCAATTATTCTGACAAAGACTAACTTCAGGTGGGTGAAACTGGGCTCTATAGGCTACCTCTCTAGTTACTGTAGAGTTTACAAGGAGGAATGAGGAGACGATCAGTTTATTTCTGGTTTATAATTGCCCGTCTTTCTCTCCACTGACTACAAAGAGATGTCGAGGGAAGCTTATCTTTGTAGTTTGAATTTGGTCTTTTTGAATTTCCCTTTATGTCATCTGTTTGTTTTGACACTAACTGCTGTCAAATCTGAGCCCATATTAGCAGTATAGAGATTTTAATAAAAATAAACAAAAAATATTTTAAGAATAGTCTTACAATATTTCATATTCAAGTTCTTTTCAACTTTGGTCTTTTTCCTTTTGGCAGCACCAGAACAAAATTATTCCCTTCTGGGTAGCCCAGATGTCATTGATACTGCTCCAAGAAGAAAGCGAAGACAAAGGATAGCAAAGCATGCTGGGACAGGAGCTAAGATGGCTACTTATGAGACAGAACTGCCAGCCAAGGAAAAGTAAGCAGTTTTCAAGTGTATTGAAATGTTTTTATATCTACAGATGTCAGAGGGTTTGTGGTTTGGTTTTTTGTGTGTTTTCTTGTGCAGTTTCATATTTCAGACCAAGTACTGTTGTGTTGCGTTCTGTATAGTCATTTACAGTAATTTTACCCCACTTTGAATAGATGTGAATGATTAAATTGTCAGGCCCAATGACTTATTGACTTTAATATACCTCTAAAGTGACAATTGTAAAATTCTTTTCTTTAATTGACTTGGATAACTTTAAGCAAATAGATTGAAGCCTACTAAAATGAGGTTCTGTAGGTTACCATATAACCCTCCAGGCAAAGAAGGATGCATCTATAGCAAGTGTCAAACTAAGATGGACAGCTTCATCTAAGTTGTGTCACAGAAACTAGTAACGTTATAAGTGTCTTTCTTCACAGTGAGGGTGGTCAAACACAGGAACAGGATGCACATAGAGGTTGTGAAGTCTTCATCTGTGGAAATATTCAAAACCCAACTGGGCATGGTCGTGGACAACCTGCTCTGGTTGAGGAGGGAGGTTGGGCTAGGCAATCTCCAAAGGTTCCTTCCAATGTCACCATCCTGTGATTCTGTTTTTGTAATTTCAGTGGAAATTAATTCACAATATCATTTTTAATAGACCAGAATAGATTTCTTTTGAAAATAAGATCAGTGGGGAAAAAAAAGGATTCACTCTTGAACACAAAGGGGTCAGAATTTATAACACTTAATAAAAGTCTTTTCTTCTAATGTCACTCTCAACTTTTGGAAATATTTTCACATGATCTGGGAGGTGCTTAGTTATGCATAGAATTACCTTGGTAATTCAATATGATTGGTGGTATTTTCTTCAAAAACTGATGGGTTTTTTTTAAGGTCTATGGTAAGTTAGATTTGAAAATACTTACTTTCCCCTTTTATCTGTAATATCCAATGGATAATAAACAATTTAAACAGACATGGACACAAGTAGGCTACAAAGACCTTTCCCATGATTAGCAAAGATTTCTGTTTAAATCAGCAAGAGAGTTATCTTATTTTGACATAGAAGGTCATGGCTTGATGCCAGCTAGGAATGTTTAAGCTTACAATCCTGTTTTATTAGTAAAAAAAGAATTATGTTTTTTTAGAATGGTCTAGAAAAATGTCAAATTCTGCTGTTCTGTTTTTCAGAGTCTAGTAAATTACAATGAACAATGCCCTTTCCCCATTGTATATAGTCAGTTTGATTTTGTGAGTCTGGCTGTGTTTGCCTGAAATGCAGTTTCACTCTTTTTGTATTGATTGTGGAAGGAAAACCTACGGAGGCAAATGATTGCAAAGGAGAATATAGAGGCCTTGGGCTGAGTAATCCTCAGTGTATGGTTATCTGAGTCCTGTGTGTAGGGGAAAAACTAAGAGGATATTGATATTTTTGTTTTAATTCCTTTAAGTAAGGAAAATTTTAGAAAAAACAGACAACATTATGTTTCCATACTGTGCAAAGCATTTCTAATATGCTTACAGAATCAAATCAGAGCTGAATCTAAAGAGTGGCTCTTCTTCTTGGCTATAACATAATTACTCATATTTTAAGGCTTACCATATGGAACATCCATTCTACCAGACTCTATCCCCATTTTCCTTTTTGCATTAAATATGTATGAATTGTATTGTAAACAACAGCTTTGCACTACAGGTCACAACATTGCTTGGCATCTGACATGCTTTCCAGTACTGTGAATGTGTATCTCACAATGAAAGATCCATGTTTCTCTATGATCTTTTGGTGACTTCATAAATTAAATGTGATATTGCTTGATACTGGAATATGTTTTTAATCCTTTCTTTAGTTAAAAATACAGTGGCAGTGCTAATTTTTTGATCAGATAAGAAGATATTAGGTCTCCCCATTTACCTGGACCATTACAAATGCCAAGCTGTATATAATTTCCATTTTGCTGATTATTTTTCTCAGTGTCCCTGTTTAGATCTTGGGTTTTGAACTTCATCTTAAGTCTTTTGCCAGCTGCTAATCAAGCTTTCAGTCAATTTGCTTGGCTAATAATTTTCTCTTCAGCCTGTCAAAAGTAGGTAGCTGTAGAATCAGTATCATAATCGAGTTCACAAATATAGATGTTTCTTTTTATGAAGCCTCTTCGGTAATTTGTAGTGACGGAAGGCTAGATCCTACACAGTGCGTAAGGCTTTGTCAAGCTGATGGTACATTGGGGTCCTGGCCAACATGTTTTCCAGTATTGTGTCATTTAGCAAAAAATTACTGATCCAAGCAAACCACCCCAGCCTGCTGGGGCGGCGGGGAGGTGGGGAGGAAGTTAACCTCTAAATTCCTTCACCTTTGGAAATGCTCCATCACAAATATGGAAGATGTACAGCCCTTGAAAGCATGTCATGCTTTTCTGTTTGGCAGGAGGATCAAATGACAGATTGTGATCACATTTGCAAATGCACGAATGAATCCTTATTTCTGAGCTCTCCTGCACAGACCTGCAGAAAGATTTGATTCTTTACTCATAATGTAAATACTTTAAGGTGCTATCACATAAAATCGTATCCCACAGTCTTGCTTTAACAAACTAAAGCTTATTTAGAATTATTTTCCATTTTCAAGTTCTGCTGACATCATCAGTGCTTGCTTCGTGTTTGCCAGGCAATGAAAGGGCAGTTACAAACCAAACATCAAGAGCATAATGCTGTCTTTATATTGTTGCATTGTAAGTTGATTGATACAAGATCCTAAATCAGAAGAAAAAATACCTCTTTAATGAAGGAGAGCATCCAAGTTTTTCTCTTCTTTTTGGCTTTCAGATTGTTGTTTGAAAATACAGTATTTTTCAACACAGTCATTATTATCACATAATAGGAATTATATCTTAACTTTTATATCATTCTCCTAAGATTTTAAAGTATGGTAAGAAAGTACTGCTTATGTTTGAAGTTAAGAGCATCTAAAGTAAATACTGAGTCATGAAAAATAAAAGGATTCTATTTCTACAAATATTTTAGATTTATGGATGTTGTGGCTAGTTATGTAGCAATTCTCTTGTCCTTTGGAATGAAAATATATTCTTAGATATGACCAAGAATACTGAGAAGAATGCAAATAAAAATCTGTTTAACATAGAAATGAGAGCAAAAGGAGTACTGCCTTTCCCAAGCTTTGTGTGTGGGTGCAGTGGCAGGAAAAGGAGTTGAATTCTATTAATCTATATAGACATCTAGTATTACTGTGACAATTTATTGAAGGACTAAATCAACATTTTTAATGAAACTTGGAAATGTGCTTTGGATAATATTAAGCTTAGTGAAAGTAGTGTAGACATGAGACCAGCAAAGAACTGAACTAGGATTTGTGGAACAAGGTTTGCTAAATTAACCGTTTAATTATTTGCTGAGATAAATATGTTCTTTAGGGTAAAGTAGAAATTCAGAATAATTAGTTGGTCAGTGAACTGCCAAGATTCAGGTTTATCCAGCTCTCTAGCTGGTTGTTTTTCAAATCTGACATATCCAATGAAAGGAAATGCTTCCTTAGGCAGACAGATGTTACTTATAGTTGATAACAGTCAAACTACGGCTTGCAATTCACACATTTTTAAAATGTGAAAAAGGATGGTTCTTACAGTTCAAAACACGATTGAGTCAGGAAGTAAAATAAAATTATTTTGATTCCAGTAAACTGTGATGGTATTGTTAAAGCTTTAACTGTAACTTAATATCTGGCAATTTCCTAAGGTGCAAAGCAGAGATAATATGTAAGTCAAGTTAAGATGCAAATTCTACTTTTCACAATTTGCATTTCATACTTGGAGGAGAAAAATTAATAAGAGCAATCCCAATCCACAGTTAGAAATTATGCTTATTGATGCATTACCCATATCTCTCAGGGGACTGCATATGAATAACACTATTAGCTATGTAGAATATGCATTCAATATAGAGGCGTAAGTGTGTGGCTTGTCAGCCTGAATCTTATAAATAATTGCATTTTTCTGTTATATTTTCAGTTTAAAAGTATTGGAACCTATTTGAGAGAAGATAGTACCTACTGGAGATGACAAAAATTGTTTTTTATATAATTTTGTACAGTAAGTGAGTCATTGAATACAGAATACTTTGTGTAGCTTGTACAATCTGCAGTCACAGAGTACAGTGTAACCCAACCAGTGCTGGAGTCTCTGTAATTAAAACAAAAGTAAATCAGGAAAAGCTTCCTTTTCTAGTACAGCTTACAACTATTGTTTTCTTTCCACAAGTAAAAATCTATCATTCTGCTTTGGTTTATCAAAATTATTTTTATTTAAATAGGTAAGAAAAGCAAAACCTTTTTTTCTGTCTGTCATTTTTTACTAATAAAGGATCTAGTTTTATGGCCCTCATTCACACATGGGTTTCCTAGGAGGAAGGCTTTACTGCATAAGACTCCAAATTTCTTTAAGTTATTCAGTATGTTTCAAAATGTAATCCATTCTGGCTGCTGTATAGTGTTTATAATTTCTTTGCTACTGAGTGTGTACATACTGTTGAGGATATGTACAATTACAGAAGTGGTTTGGGGGAAAACATCTTAAATACAGGAAAAACCTTATTATGGATGCAAATATGCTGTTTTCTCCTGAAAGTAAGAGTAAAGACAACCAAAAAATGTTATTACAGAGAAAATGCTTCACAATTCTGAGAAACAAGTGTTTAAAAATACTTTTAATTTAATTGATTGAGAAGTAACAGGTATTATTTGCTTGTTTTTTCTATAAGGAAATACATGTTTACACCAAGCACTGTGACTCTAGCTTATTAGTTATACTGGATATCAAAAATTTCAGATTCATATGTATGAGTGTAGTTTTGTACATTTGATGTAGCTGTTACTGCCTTTTTTTTTTTAATTGAAATTTGACTTTTTCTGGCTTGATACTTCTTGCGTGATTGATAAAACTGAGTGACTGTTAGAATCAGACCTACATTTAAATTGAAGAGATGCTTTCCCT